GATAAAGTAGCACTTTAACCGCAAAGGTAGATAAAGTAACACTTTAACAGATAAAATGTAGATAAAATGTTTTAATTTATTTTATTCATTTAAATTTACAAATTTTATCATTCACAAGATAGAATAAAGCGTCAAGCGAGTTGAATACAACATTTTATTCTTTGAGTTAGACTCAACAAGGCTTAAACTTGCTTTAAATCTGTTAAAAATAATCTAACGTTTCGTATTGAGAAAAGCCAAAAATTGTATTTTTTTTGAAATTTAATTTTTTTTAAACTTTTATTTATTTATTTTAAACTTTAAGTTCTGCTATAAAAAAAATGTATTATACACGACGATAAAGATTTTTTATCTACTCGGAAAATAAGTCCACTCGTGAACTTAACCTTTTCACTCGTAGATAAACAATCTTTTTATTGTCTTGTATTTGGTCGATATTTATAAATGTCAATGTAAAATTCAACAATAAAATGTAATGTCAAAGATCGTTAGCAACTAACAATCGCAGATATAAAACAATGGATGTATTTTTTATCATCTAAACGATAAAATTTTATTCTAACATGAAGAAAAGAGTAGATAAAATTCAATTTTAACATAGAGGATTGAATAAATAACTACAAGTTTTTTTATTTATTTTTCTGATTTAAAAAAAAATAAACTTTTAACGTGTTCTACACGTGTGCATTCATTAGTGGGTCGACATTTCTATTTTCTTGGAAAGAAAAACTGTGTTTTTGTTACAAATTTCAGTCTTGGACAATTGCCTGAAACCTTGAAACCGAAAATACCATTGAATAAATACATAATCCGATTGTCTTATAAAAAGTTACGTAAGAAACGTGACTTGAATCAAAAGCTCTCGAATAAATTACTTTTTGATTCAAAAATACATACAAATTGGCAAGTGTGACCACAATGTGACGTTTTTTTTCGGTTGCAATGCCAATTCAGATTCTCTCGAAGTCACTGAAAGCGTACTTATAAACAAAATCTATTTTCAGGAGCGATCGAGTGAGGGATGCAGTTCGAACGGTCCTGAAAATAACCGTCGTTACTACTTTCATCTCTTACATGTTGCACAACAAGTTCGAACACGACCAACAAGTCGTTTGAGTTGATGCCAAAATTAATTCAGTTAAAGTTTGACTTCGCTGTGAATAGTTAAAACACCTAATCCGAAGAAACGGTTCAAACTCGTCTAATTTGTTGAGTGAAATGTGTTGACGTGAAGGTATAAGAAATTCAGCGGTATTGAAAATGAGTTTTTGTTTACGAATAGGCGCGACGCATGATTAATGTATAAAGTTCCTCCAGATGTAATCGATAATCCCCATTATGACCCCGATTTCGAGTTGAGAAAAGATTCTGTTCTTAAGGGATGATTAAACAGGAGAAAACACAAAATAGCGTTAATTAGCAAGTGAAACCAATCACCACATTGAATTTAATTCTCGAAACGAAAATTTCAGTGTTTTACGTCTGTTTTAAATTTTAATCTCGCATATACACAAATCTGGTGAATTTTAATTAAAAATGCTGACCTGCGTTTGCATTTTAACGATAGTGATTTCGCAGCAATTATTCTGTCAGCTTTGGTGGATACAATTAGGTCAGATTTCAGCCGAAAACTTCGCTTTTTAATTTAGTCGTCTCGATTTGTTTTGTTTGTTTTCTTGAACTCGCTTTTGACCAAAGTTTTTTGAACATTTGTTCACTTTCTGCCTTGCTTTCATTATGATCTCGCGAGCTTTCAGTCGAGTTGCGCTTTTTTAATTGTGTTTTGTCGGTGAGGTGGTTGGCGGTTTTCATTACCGCTGCTTTATTTTTATCTTTTCAGTCGGCGCTCCATTTTTCATCTTGGACTCAAAAATCGGCTGAAAAATATGTGGGCTGAACAAAAAGTTTTGCTTTCAGAAAATAATAATTAATAAAAATTAAAATGCTGAAAAAATGTGATCGTGCATTGAATTTTCGAATTTTGTTTTGTTTTCGAGTTATGCGATCTTTTTTTCAAAGTTTTTTCGACGAAAATTTAATAAAATGTAGTTAAATACAATTTGGCAATTTGCCAACTTTAATGTTACACAAAATATGCAAAATTCTTGTTTTCTGTGAGCCATAGCTTTGAAGTCTTTTTGTCATTAAAATCAGAAACTTTGGAATTTTGATCTTACTTTTCGAATTGATCTTTTCGAGGGACATTTATAGCTTTCAACTAGAAAATAAGTTAATTTATTACACATGGAAATTCAAATATAGAACACAGTTCAATATTCTGTGTTGTTCCATTTGGGATGAATATCGTTTGTTATTCATCAATCATTGTTGCTATTTTAAAATTAATTCCAGAAATTATTTTACTTGTTTTAAACTAAAATACACATTTACAAATGCATATTTACATAGGTATAAGAATTGTTTTAGTCCTCAATTTTTTTGTACTAATTTTCGTAGTCATCAAAAATCGATGATTGTTCTATTTTATTTCTATTCTATTTC